ATATATCATGACTAACCAATATAGCTAACAATAGATAATAAACTAATTGCAAGAATAGGTAGGCATTGCGGGCTATTAGTTAAAAGATGACTTCATACAAATGATTGTTTTTATCAGTCTAAATATTATTACATTTCATGATGAAATTTCAATATTTAGCATATGCAATGAAATGTCCAATATAACTCAGGGATTCCGAAAAGATAAACCTGAACTTAATTCAAGGCATCTTACCGGGTTTGTAACCTACATGAGTATTTCATCAGCTCAATTTCAAAATTATTTATGGAAATATGATCGGGCCGGGATCACACTCAATCATGGTTAACCAAGGTTTCTCCTTTAATTAATTACTTACTCTCAGGAGGGTCTCCTAACCCCTAAGTCGATTCACGGCAGATGAAAAATTACCTATCAGCCGATTTCGAACCCAGGACCTTGAGCATTGGAAGTCAGTGCTTAACAACTGAGTTACACCGTTTGATTTTTAAAATGTAAATAAAAACAGTTAGTATAGGACTCGATTTATATATTTTTATTTTTATTATATTTATTTATAATACAGGATTTATACTTCCAAATGCATAATTCGCATTTTCGAATGTGCGAATACTATTCTTAAAAAAAAAATCCATCTTAAAAAATATACGATCTTTAATAGATTTTTTTTTATGACGCATGAAGGATCAGAGAAAACAAAAAAGAAGAAAAACTAAACCGTCTTGAAATATTTGTTTACTCCAAATATTAATACTTGCCAATCTTCAGAAAAATAATTAAAAACTGAGTACAAATCAAAACCTTCATGAAAATCCAACAAAATGATATAAAAGTATATATTTAATAACCTTCCGTATATAATTCGCACTTAATTAAAAAATATATTAAGATCAATTGAGTATAATTAAACTAAGTTACTCAAATTTTTTTTAGTTCATAAAAATATTGTACAGATATAGTTAAATATGAAATATAAGAAACGATAATACTTGCCAATGTATAAATAGGATACAAAAAATGTATACATTTATGTATGTATTAATTAGAAAAAAAGGTTATACCTTATTTACGTTGCTTTTCAAGACATGTACGTGATACACTCTTACCTGAAAAAAAGAATTCTAAATAAGTTCAAGTACAGTTTAAGAAAATTTATTTTCTAACCACAAGTATTTTTTTATTTAGAAAATAGTTATAACATCTTATTCTATTTTTTTCGCTGGAATTATTATTGTGTTTACTAGCGAAAATATTGCACATCAAAAACAATAAATTCTGCGTCGAATGTTTGCAATTTTGATCCAAGAATATAGTCGAAATTGGTGAACAAAAAGTAATTTTTTTGTATGATATGATTGAGTGAATTGAGACCGTATGTTTAAAAGAAACCGCTGTTGTCAATTTAAAAAAAATCTTTGGAATAAAAATATACAACTCCCTTTTACTGCTTATTCACTTAAGTCTAGTGTTGCCCAAATGCGAGACCGAGACGAGTCTTGTTCTTGCAAACTCAGTCTTGGTCATGGTCTTGGTCTTGCGCAAGACGGTTGCGCAAGAGTCTCGCAACCGTCTTGCGGTAACTTATTAGTTTAATACTATAGAGATATTATTGTAATTTTTTAGATAGGAGAAACCAAACTAAGCCCGAATGAAAAATTAGAGGAGTTAAATGCAAAACCATACTGGTTTACCAATTATCAACATGTAGTAACTAAAATTGTCGAGTATTAGTAACTATTTTGAATTAATTTTTATTTAAAAAATCGATTTTTTTACTTGGTCTTACTAAGTGCAAGACCAAGACCGATTTTGGGCAACACTACTTACGTCATTTTATGCAGATTTTCTCCCTCATTCACTCATCAACATACTTTTAGATGAGTTATAAACCTTAAAATCCCGAACTGATGGCTTTTAGCCTGTCACAGTCAAAAAATTCCAAAAAATAAATCTTTATTTTTACCTCAATATGGTCATCTTAAAAATAAATATTTGAAGGTCTATTCTAATTAAATCATGGTTCTTCATTGATTCAGAGTTTTCTTTATTGATTTTTATCGCCTTTTTTATGTTTATTTTACTTTAATACATCAAATTATTGGTGGAAGGGGTGAAATGACATTCTCGCCTCCTCTCATTTATCGTCTCCTTCGCTACCACCTCCCTTCCCAAGTCTTTACCAACTGTAAAGCCTATATCTAAATAATTATATATTACATAGTCTCAAATTTTAAGCAGCGGGGTGGCCGACTGAGCTAATGTGTGCACACATTACTGCTACACTGTGGAACGAGCAAGATAAAACTCGCTACATCGGCTAAATCTTTTTTTTTTTTTTTTCCATCGAACTATTCAATAGAAACAGTGAAAAGTGTGTATGCGGAAACTCCACGAACAACATTAAGTATCAATTAAACAGTTTATCTAGTTTTTGAAGTTATAAAAAAAAAATAGAGTTAGATAGATTCAAATAGATGTTGCAAGTTTTATCTTACTTGTCCCACTGTGCGTCGTTTCCCGGCAACCCGGTACAAAGGGAGTCTTTTAACTCTGACATTAACCCCCCTTCTTACCCCCTGGCCCGATAAAACCTCCGTACAGCCTAAAAGGCGAGGATAAAATAAAAACTCGAATTCTATGTTAATATATAATTGTTTTTGATAGTTTTTTCAAAAATTTGGGTAGATATCTTTATAAAACAATCCTTTAATATAACGATCCTTTGAACCTATATAGGTTCAAAAAACAATTAATAAAACTACATATTAAATTTTTTTATGTAAATTAAGATATGTAAACATGATGAAATGTTTCTTTGTAAATTTATTTATTTATTGAATAATATAACATTCTGTCACACCACATCTTGGTAAATAAAGTAAAAGTTGTCAATTGTCCAAGAATGAATGAATAAGGCTTGAGTACTGTTTTATTTTAGATGGAAACAATAAAAAGTTGTGTAGCTCTCCGAGAACTACAAATAAAACCCATTAGTGGAAAACACCACTAAAAAAGTTTGACTCATCTACAAATACAACTGCTTGAATCATGCCAAAACTTTAAGTATTTTTCTTTTAAAACTAATTAGTTGGATCCCGTATGTAAGGCTTTTAGGGCTATTTGGAACCTGTGGTGTATTCATGTTTCAAAACCCCCAAAAAATAAATAAAAGAAAAAAAATGATTTTATTAACACAACTCGTCTGAAAAAAATTAAGCAATTTTTTATATTAAAATTGTCGTGGAACTCAAAAATAAATAGTCATTAGAAAAATTTTTAGAAGTTATAAATATTAAAAACATAAATTTTAAAATCATTCATTTATTGTAAAAAAGGGTTATTATTATTTTGTATGTGTTTATAGCTCTAGATCTTCATTACTGTTTTCACTATTTGGCTGAATATAATTTTGATGGTATCTTATACTACACTCAACAACACTTTTAAGGCACATTTCTATTATTTTTGTTGTAGATAAATCTGGATTTTGCATATTATGCAGTATTCTGGATACATATAGATAGCTATGATAATTGATGCTTCTTTAGTGTCCGTTAGTCCACAAAATGGATTTATTTTTCATTCATTGGATCGTAATCGTTTTTTTTTTAGTGATTTCAGCTAAATACTTAACAACAACAGTATGTTTTATTTTTTAAAACAAAATGGATTTATTTTTCATTCATTGGATCGTAATCGTTTTTTTGAGTGATTTCAGCTAAATACTGAACATTAACAGTTTTATTTTCAAATTATAAAAACTATCGTTGGTTTATTTCAATAAGTCATAAAGTGATATTTCTTTCAAGGGAAATTTATTATCTTCAATGGTAATGAGCAAATATGATATTAAGGAATATATATATATATATATATATATATATATATATATATATATATATATATATATATATGAAGAAGAACAGAACAAAACGAAAAAAAAAAAACAAGCAAGAAACAATATGAATAATAGAAAATAGTAAAAAATAAAAATAAGTAAATAATAAAACTAAACTAAAGAAAAAAAAGTAAATAACAGGATAAAAAAAATCTTTATATAAAAATAATAAGATATCAAGTTTAGAGTCAGTCTGATTAGAGAAATCAGCCACTAAAAGGATATTTATGTAGTCCGTGAAGGCTTGTAAAATAAATAAACAAAAAAATCTATGTATTTATATTTATTATGATTTATTTTATATTTTTCTTGACGACTCCTCCCGTCTAATAAGTGTATTTATGCAAAAAATCAGTAAGAACATTTTTGATGGAACCGAACTTTTTTGTATATTTCCATCATATTTATTGATTGAAAACTGATTAAATGAATATCACTCACAGGAACAATTATGGACCAATGAGAAAAAATAAATATGCTTCCATATTGTGGGAGCTTCAGCCCAAAATTTCCATTATAAATCCATTACTATATGTAGCCATGTAGCCATCCATAGTTATATGTAGCCAGAATACTGCATAATATGCTAGGTCCGGATTTATATACAACAAAAAGTATAATAATATATAGTATAGTGGGCCTGGGTAACTCGGTGAGTTAGGCACTGGATTGCTAAGCTCAAGGACCCGAGTTCTGATCCGACTGATGAGTAATTTTTCATCAGCCCTAGGGTCGGAAAGGCCTCCTGATGAATCCCTAGCCTCCATAAAGTTGGTACTCTTTATTAAGTAATTACTTGAGGGGAAAACCTGGTTGTTGAGCGTGATCCTGGCCCGCAAAACCGATGACCTTGAAACAGTACTTCCTGACAAAGTACTGAACCCAAAACTCTTTGGTGGTTGTAGTGGTACAGGTTTTATTTATTTTTTGTATGTTTATGGTATAACATACCATCGAAATTATGAACATTCAGAGTAATCAAGGTTTTAGGAAAAAAATAAATAAATAAATCCCCCTCCCTTTCAAAATTTAATTCAGAATCCCCTTTTAACTCTCACCCTCCTTATCACAGCTTTATCAGCCCATTCTTGGAGATTCGAAGCTCTTCAAGGAAGAAGTGTCGGAAGGAGTGGGGCGGGTTTGATTATATATCTACTCCTGACTCCCTGCCAGAGCGTCTAGTCCGAGTGTGCCATCTGAGTGAGCAGTTCACAGCATTCATTATAGTTCATCGCTTATAGTTCGCGTGAGTGTAATATATGATTAGTAATTAGTAATAAGTTTGCTTACTTAATTAATTAAGTTTGGGCGTCATTTTTAAATAATCATTATATTTTTATTATTTTTATATTGGACCAGCCGACATAATTATAATGTTTTTTTTTCTTTTTATGTTTTTTTTCTTTTTATGTTTTTATTTTTAAGTAGATGTATTTTTGTAGTCAATTTATATTTCGGGTTTAGACTAGAAACGGTGGTAAAATAACCTTTTATAGATTACTCCAATTTTTTTCACCTTCGGTTATACCGGCCGGTTGTTACCGCTCAAAATAACCGGTTACGGAGACAATCGGGCATATTACCGCTCAAAATAACTGGTTGTCCGTTATTACTTCAGAAGGACGAATTTTCTTAGTTGTATTTCTTAGTTAACTGTTGTATTCTTTTTTTTTTTTTTTATAAAAATCTTCAAATAAATTTTATTTTATTTTACAAAACTACAATATTAAATTTTATTTAAAAAATTAACGGCATACCGGCATTTAATTAAAAATAATACTTGAAATTAGTTAAATAAATACGGAAATTTATTTTTTTATTTACAGTAAAGTTAATTGATTAATACCTGATGCAATGAAACATTTTATTAATAATAAAAAACTTTGATTATTTACCGTTAACGTTATTTAACGGGCTTATTTTGGCTAATGTTTATTCCAAAAATATCGCCTTTATCTCCTGCTTACCTCCTTAATTTAAATTTTTTATTTAGACAAAAATCTTTTTGTCAGTTTGTTTTTGGTGGCATTTTTATTCTAAAACAACAGAAAATTCCTAAATAATAGAAAGAATACAAATCGCATACCTTAAAATTACGTGATATACAAAAATTAAATAATATGTAAAAGCTTTTAGTTTAACAAACTATAATATATCTATTTTTATTTATTTATAGATAATATACAATATATATTTAGTTTTGAAAATCTTATATAAATTATTTACCTTTTTTAAATTTGTATTATTAATTTTTTATATAAACTGTTTACCATATTAAATTTGTACTAAAATATTTTTTTTTTTTTAATTTCTTTTGCCAAAATTATATCAAAAACTCTTTCAGAACATTATTAGTTTTTTTTCTTTACTGAAAATAATAAATTTTTATACTTTAACGAAGGTCGTCGGAGGAATGACCGCTGCTGTGAGGCAGTGGTAAAGGCGGCATCATTGCCCTGGAGACAAAATTTTGAGGGCGACGAAGTTTGATTTTAGATTTTGTTTTAGTTTAAACATACGTTCATATATATATATATATAACTTAAGATAACAATTATAGTCGGATAATAGGTCATGAAATACACTTGAATGAGCTGAATCAACTTCTGTTTATTCATTTTTTTATTCAAACGTTTCGATTTCTGTTTTTTTAAAATGAAGGAATTCTCTTCAGTTCTTGAAAAACATATATATAAAGGTCGAATTATAAAAACATTGTAATATTATATATATATATATATATATATATATATATATATATATATATATATATATATATATATATATATATATATATCATATTATTGTTATTTCTATCATTCTTAAATCTCTCACCTAAGATATCCATACATCTATAAGATCCATCTCCTACTGTATCCATCCTTCTTTAACAAGTCATAGATTCATTCATCAACATGTGTTAATATTATCTGATGATGAATTTTTTTCGTTATATCTCTGGTCTCTAGCCATTACTAGCCAAGTCGACTTATCCTTAAGTTGCTTTAAGTCGATCATTCTTTAATTCTTGAGTTCTTAGGCCATTGGTTACTAGAGTAACTCTAGCAGAGTTATCGAATTTTACCAAAGGCTTAAGAGCTCAAGAATGATGAGTCGACTTATCTACTGGTCATGGCCAGAGATCAGAGGCATTACCTATAATACTTATGTAAAATGTTTATTATTATTGGAAGTGAAAAAATTAAGCTTATCCATTCTGGCAAAAATCCTAGTTCCGGCCTTGATTGAAAAGGAGCGTGGATCGATTTTGTATCATTTTTCGAATTTATTCAAATATACTTCCAGCTACATGTTGATACTTCCAATTGTACTCTTTCAATCAAGTGAGCTTGCATAAAATTCGATATATTGAGTTGTTTTCTTGGCAGAATTTTAGGTAAATTTTGACATATCCCAGGAGGGATTTTTATGACGTAAGTTGCACTATCAAAGACTTTGATGGGGTTATATTTTGCCGAAATTTTGAGGGGAGCACAGAACTAGCGGGAAAACCTGGAACAGACCACAGCAAGTGTAATTATGAGTGATCTTCAATTATTAATTTTATTCTAGCTTTCACTTTTTTTAAGAATAAGAGAGCAACATAATTTCTGAGGAGGGAGGAGCGCTGGTTTAGGCGCCAACGATCTTGGGAGAGATGTTTACCCCTGTACCCTAGCGGTTGCAAGTGTTATATGTGCCTCTATATTTCTTCTATATAAAATTATTTAGTTGAAATTTTTTTTGTTAAATAAGTTGATGATAAAAAAAAAAGTATAATTCTTCATTCTTAAAGATACCATTTTCAAGTTTTTAAATCGATCTACATCCATACAAAATGAGCTTGAGGATTGATTCAGATTTGAATTGGTTATTTCCCTTTGATGGTATCGACTTTTTTCACGAATCCGGCTTATTAACCGGACATTAGCCGTGGTCACTAGGATCGGAAGACGTTTCTAGATCACACCAGGTCTATATAAAGCGAGTACCCTTAATTAAATAATTGTTTAAGGTATTACCCTTAATCAACCCGTTATTCCACTTGACTATGGAACGTGATCTCGGGCACATCACCTCTTGCATAACTGTTGGCCAAGAAACAGTTATTTTTAATATAATGTAAACAGTTATTATTTTTTTATTATTTGAAAATTAATACATTCTACCGCAATTGAGGGCATTAATATTAAGGCTACATTAAACATTCACACAAAGTTATTATTGATCGTTCATTAACACAACTACAGGAAGAAGCTCAGTAGTTCAATTGATTCTGAAATTCTTTTCAATTTTCTTGCATATGCATAATTAAAACCATTTCCTTAACAAAAATGAGAGGAAAACTATAATTTAATTAAATTATTCTACTCTTTACGCTACGGTTTAATTGTTATTCGTTATTATTTATATATTGTTTTGTAATAGTCGTTAGTTCGTGTTATATAGTTTAAACACGTTTGCGGATTTAGTTAGATGATATAAGAAGAAGTGAATTGCGGGTAACGAATACAATAATTACAGAGATTCAGGGACAAGGCAATTGATGCTCTGTGCAAGAAATTATTCTGAAATTGGATTGCAATAGTGACTATCATATTATTGTTATTTCTATCATTCTTAAATCTCTCACCTAAGATATCCATACATCTATAAGATCCATCTCCTACTGTATCCATCCTTCTTTAACAAGTCCACTGCTTGAATTTCATCTTGTCAAGAAAACGTGTGAGTCTATCATTATAATTAGTCCGCAGAATAGACCCTTTTTTAATAAATTATTAACATCCGTCTTAAACTTCGTGAAGTTCTTCTTCTTGACGTAAGCTATAACCTAAAGCTGCAATAAGATGCTACATCTACATATAACCTACAGCTACATCTACGTAAATTCTCATTTACGCGTTTTCTTATTTAATTAACCAATTTAATGAGATACTAAACACTCATGAATCCCAAGCTGCTTTTCGCTTAAATCGAACGATAATTTAATAAAAAAATAAAAGTAAAAAAAGAATAAATAAAAATATTTTTAAAAGTGGCCTCCCAAAATATTGAGTCGTTTAACGTCGTTATTTTGACATGTTGAAGGTGCAGATAAATGGCTTATTTTTATATGCCACCTTTTTTCCGATCAAATTTTCTTCGTCTTGAGGTTGCAACATACTTGAGGTTGCAACCTTCAACATTTTTATCCATGAAAATTCTCAGAAATGGTACATTTTCTCATCAAATTAAGTAACTTAATGAGTAACAAAAAAAAACTCATAAATACCCATTGGCTTTCCACTTGAATTTTGAGATACTTTGATCACAAAAAAAAAAGTGGCCTAAAAAAATATCGGTTCGTTTTGCTTATAACCTCATCATTTTGAGATGTCTGAGGTAGAAGTCACGTTTAATGGCTAAATATTCTTGTAGGCCACCTTTATCCTAATTTTGTGATCAAATTATCTTATGATATAAAAGAAAAGCAATTGGTTGTTCATGAGTTTTTAGAACCTAATTAATAGACAAATTTTACCAACCTCCAGATCTAACGCCATATTTTCGAGAGGCTTCGTAAATAAAAACATTTTAGCTTACGATAAGATGAAGTTTTAGACGGGTGTAAATGATTTCATAAAAATTTTATTGGTATAAAGTCATCTTGTTATTCCAAGTAGTGTAGAAATATCGATGTGTATTTATTTTGGTTGTCAGTTGATGTGAAACTGAAATGTAGGATAAATACTCTAATAGGTACGAAAATAGAAAATTTCAAGAACGAAAAAATACACAATCTTTTCCAAGTAAGATGAAAATAGGAGCATACGTGGGTTCCTGAGTGCCTGGTTTAGAACTTAGTGTTTTCGATTCCCACCCGGGTCAGTTAAGATTTATTTTTGAAACTCGGACTCAGGTTAATACGCGGCGAAAACCTTCACGTCAGACCACTTACCGGAGTTCGATATCAGTTTAAAAATAATTCTATAACGGATTGATACAAATTAAAACAAAAACAAAAAACAGGAAATGGCTAATGTGCAAAACAGAAAATAACTTTCAAAGTTAATTGAAAATTTAAAACACGAATACTCGATTAATTTCGTTTCGGTCAAAGGATGTATGAGAAGTTATAAAGAACAAAACATCAAACCTAATTTCATTAATAAATAAATTTGATAAAATTAAAACAAATTGATTCTTTATGGTGATTTAAATATATTCAGATAGTTTTAGATTTTGTTATGAAATGTGCGATTCATTTGACACATCCCTTTGATTTTTTTTTTTTTTAATAATACTTAACGTAGTAATAATTATGTTTGTTTTTATCTTAGGCGAAGAGGAGGGAGAAAATGTTTCTACCGTTTACTTAACAATTATATTTGTGTTGTTAGAATAAACGTTTACCAAATATAGGCGTTCCTGATCTGAATCATTGAGAAAACCGATGGGTTCTTTACAATTTTGAAATATATTTTTGTTAATATTTTCAATATTCGTTAAGGTCTAAATAGTTTACTATATAACTCAGTTACAGCAGATGATTTCGATAGGTGTTAGTGGTTCAAAGTAAATCTAATCTATTTCTGGACATCGTCCCCTGACCAGTTGAAAGCTAAATTTAAATTAGAAAAGCAAGCCTAAGCTAAAAGATTTAACAACACAACAAACATAATGAATGATTTATAGATATATCATAAACATTTACAAATGTTAATAGATAATTAGGAAAAAAATAATAGGTTAACTATTATGTTGTATTAATATATCCAGAACCTCTGAATGTCGTATATATTAAATGAATTAATACATTATTGTTTTATAACTTAGTTCTTTTGGTGAAAATAAAAAAATCAACATCCATATTATTTATGTTTATCAACTAACCCAAATAACTTAATAATTAAGTGAAATCACATTTAACATTTACGATTTTTTTCAAGACACTCTGTGAACTTTTCTAATAAAAGTTCCAAATAATAATAATAAAAAGATCAATGAACCCGAAGGTTCGATGCCGACACTACCAATCTCTTCACACCTTCCTCCACCGGTCGCCGTTCAAATCCAACCCTTCCAGATCAATCTAATACCCCGGAAAAATGCAGAAGATAAATTAAGTAATAATTTCTTTTTCTCTTTTATGAAATTCCGATTAATCTCGTATTGATTTTATTTTGAACAAATTTATTGGCCCATAAAATAAAATAACCCTAGAAAACCTATCAGTTAAATTCCATTTTTTTCATTCGTTTCTGTTCTGAAAAAGAATTGGCATTATTTAATTATTATACCTGTTAATAATAATAGGCTCAGCGAATCCGATATAAAGTGTCACTGCCGACAAACCCAGCCCCTCCAGATCAGCCTAAACGCAATCCCACCTTCGCTTCGGTCTACCCTCGGACGTTTACCACTCAGCATATTAAATATTATTAACCTTTTATCGAATCTTTCGTTACTAAGCCCAACAATTTTACAAGCCAATTTTATTCGCCCCAATTTAATCAAATCAATTATATTAACCGAATACAGTTCACGCAGTTCGGCGTTGTGTAACTGTCTAAATTCTTGAGTTGAAAGATACTTGCTACTGTTATTATTTTATAATATTAAATTTAAGAATTACCTCATACATTTTCATTGACGTTTCAGACGATTCAAGACCTCTAATAAAAATATATATCTAACTGCATGTTGGAAATTAAATGTCTCAAGAATCAATTATCTTTGAAAATAATCTTAATTTATCCGAAACGTCGATGAAAATGTTGGATAAACTTTTAACGAATTTCTATTTCTAACCTTGAGATGAAATCGCCGAAGGAAAATTAAACTGTTATAATGCTGCGGGAACCAATAATATTTCTTGTGGAATAATAGTTGTTAGAATCGTTAATCATTTTCCTGGAAGCTTAATGTTTGTTCGGGTTTGAAACAAGGTGATTTCCTTTTACCTGTCCTATTTCATTTATCTCTTCAATATGCTTTTAGAGAGGTGATGCCTACTGGAAATATTTCAATATGGATAGGAAAAATACCCATGGCTGAAAACACCGATTTCTGAATGAAGACACCACAAAAGAATAAATACAGAAAGTTTGATAAAATTCGACAAATATGTGAGCCTCAAAATAAATATGAATAAAATGAAATACAAAGGTCAGGGATCTCCAAACTTTTTGGCCGTAGTTCAAGTGATTTACTAAATTTTATATTTTTAAAATTTTATCATGTAATCAAAGAAACTTTCTTGAGCTGTAATTTGAAAACTGATTTCGACATATTAGAGAATACCTTTGAGAAATTCAGATATAAATCTGCGACGAATAGAAAAAACGAAATTAAGAGGGAATGAATGCTGGGTTAATTGTGGGAAACGTTTGTTATTTTTTGGTGATGTCAGCTGCTTTAAAAACTCGCCGCACTACGTGAGTACCGCCTATATCACGTCGCTTAGTCGTTTTTTTTTAAATATTTTTTTCTTTTTCATAGAGATATAAAATATTCAAATGAAGTTTAAAAAACTACATTTAATGGAGTTTAAAATACTCTTCAGATTACGTAGCATAACTGTACTGAGCCCATGTGGTCACGAGGTCAGCCTTCCAAGGTCAGTCTGCAGCTTGTATTTACTGAGATCGGGAATTTACAATATATTATATTTACAATTTCGTATAGCAGGCTCTTACGAACTTACGAAATATTTTTGCTTGGTTTTACTGCAACGGTATGTTAAAATTTTGAAAAAATAAATACGAAATAGCACCCTTGAAATTCTTTCAGCCAATTTAACTTCAAGGATAATTGATACGACACAAGAGATCTTGTTGGTCCGGCCTTCGATGTAAGCTTTTAAAAAAAAAATCCTTAAGTCTCGTTTCTGATCACAGGAATACGATAAAGAAACAAATGGAGATTGTTTTTTTCCACATTAATAGATTTCATATGTCACAATAACTTTGCTAAACATAAAAACCGTAAGACAAAAAAAATTTTGAATACAATCAAATATTTTGAAGAGAAGAATAGTTGGGTTGATCAGTCAAATAAGAAGGCAAAATAAATGATAATATTATTTTGATTATGTTTCCTTCATCATTCCACACTTTGTACCGGTTATTTTTTTTTTATCTCTTGTTCTTACTATTGTCATTATTCTAACAACTGCATTTTACTTTAATTTTTATGTTTTTCATTCCTTGTTATCTGGTTCTTTTCTTAGCCCTTTTCTTAGACCTGGTTCTTCAGGTCGAAACGTCGGCAAATGACAAAATAAATATTATCATTTATTTTGCCTTCTTATTTGACTGATCACCCCAACTTTTCTTCTCTTCATTATTCACGACAGTCAACTATTTAACCACTATAATAAAATATTTTGTTTCCTTTTATTATATTTTCAATATGTTTTCCTTTTTCTACTAACTAGTATTCACCAAGTCGTCAAAATGCGACTACAATTATTATTGAATGTTTGAGTAAAACGTAAATTATCTAAGATATATTCGTGAATTCACTTTTATATGTAGTTACAAAAGGAATTAGTACAATACAATTTGTGTACTTTTTGAATTATTGGCAAATAAAAATGTGAAGAGTTATTTTTTTCACAAAAAATTATTAAACCCACTCCTCATTCGGTGAAAATTTGAGGCAAAACTTTTTATTTTTCGATTGCTGTGAAAATTCGTATGTGAAAGTTTTTCTAGGTGTGAAATACCAATCTCAATTTTATTTATCCTTAAAAAAATTATATTTGAACCCAATTTTCTCACTCCTGAATTTGATTGAAACGTTATATCAAACTTTCAAAGCAAACGGTGAAGAACTTTCGGAGATTATAGGTTTCGAATAAACAAACATTTACAATTTTATTTATATACGTTGTTTTCAAAATATTTTTATTGATAACACTAGAGCTCGTCAATAGTTAGTAAAAAAAAAAGAAAAGAAAATCGGTTGATAAACAGAGGAGAAAAAGGAACTGAACTATTTTTCTTACTATATTTTAATTTAGTATTTATTTGACCGCACCCCCCAATCAATTCCTTCTCATATTATATCAACTATCTCTACATCATTAAAAAATTATTTATTTATAATAATTTACACTATTTATATTTTTTTTATGTATAAGTTTTATATTTATTTATTTTAATATAATTTATTGAAAATATTTTATTACGTCGCTCATCCTGTGGAACAATGACAACAGTAAAATTTTGTAAAATCGATACATCACGTACAATTGTCAGAAAAACGTGCTCAATCGAATTTACGTCATAGAATAATATTAGAAAAAATTGAATGGGTAAAAGAATTTTGCACAGATGCTATAAGTTTTAAAAAATATGTGAATTATAGCTTTTCAGTTGCCAGATTGTCTAACTTCAATTTCAACATTTTCTATTATTAATTTTAGTGATATTTCTAGTGGAAAAATTTATATCTTTATTCACAGTTCTATATTTCAAAACTGTTATTACCTACTCTAGAATCAACTTATTCATTGCCTGTACAGATATTATAAATTTTCCAACTAGAAATATGACTTAAATGACTTTAATCAAAAATGTTGAAATTGGTGTGTCATTCTGCTAACTGAATGGCTTATATAATAATAATTCTTATTATATTACCCTTACTGTAAAAGTATATGATTTCCAATTACATCACTGTTCCACCGACTGAGCGATATATACATTAATTATTTATTTATTTTATAAATATTAAGTTATCTATATATATATATATATATATATATATATATTATTGATAATATATATATATTATTGAAATTAAATTCCTAACGACTACTTTTGGTTTGTTTCAGGGTGCTTTAAAGTCTAATCACAAAAAGAAATACTTAAGACAAGGTAAATATTATTTTTTTACTCATTTTGATGATTATCTAATCCCCATATGATTTTTTTTTCTGTATTTTAAGTATTCTTAAATATTTTGTACAGTTTAATCTAAAATTGATTTACAATATTAAATATTATAATTAAATGTTAGATTTTTTTAACTATAAAGAATTCCTTTATTGAATTTAATCATTCACACTAGTATAATGAGTTTTTTTATGTATATAATACAACTTATTGTTTTGTTTTTCTCTTTTTAAACTAGACGTTTATTGAAATAATCGGGTTTGGCCAATTTATTTTCTACAAATATTGTTTGGTATTTGTATAATATCGGATTTACCGTAATATTTATAATATTTTTTATCATATATGTCTAAAATCTATTGAATATGGTTTCATTGATGTGAAGGTATAATATTTAATGATGCATAATATTAAATATTTCAAATAATGTTGGAATACTTTAATTTGAAGTTGTTGTCAATGACTCTTCAGCGTAGAAGAAATAAAAAAAATAACTAAACAAATAAATACTGTAGACTTATTTTTTAGGACTATTGTGGAATTTGAGAAATTTTAAAAATGAAGAATTCTATACAAATAAAATATATCCGGATTTATTTATGATAAAATTGAAGATTATCTTCCACAATGTTAAGTGGAAATTATGCATTTTTGTTATTTCCTTATAAACATGACAGGAAAAATAATTTATCTTTGATGAAAACAAATGTCTTTTATAAATGTTTTGCAATAATTGATAATCTATCTTAGATATAAAATAAATATATAAAATGCATTTCATAAACGTCATCAAAATATGTGGGTCAAAAGTTGAATATAGACCCTTAGGTTTTCACAACTGTTAATAATAAATACTCATCTTTATGAATCGTTAAAACTAACTGTTGAGGTAATAAAACGTTCTTAAAAATCACGGATTTTAAGATTAGGAACTATTTGAATTGAAATTCGCGAAAACTGGTCTAATGAGAAAACGGGACGAAATCTTTAGCTTGTATTGGCTTGAAAATACAAAGTTAATAAAAATATTTTCTCGCATTCATTAAAATTATTATTTCTCAGAAACCAAATCTAGAAGATAATTTAGGTTATAAGTATTTAAAGGAAAGTATTTAATATTTAATTTAGTGTAGTATATGTGGTATATGCTATTGTGATATTCTTTTGGAAGTGGTGTTTCATGTCTGTTCATAACAATATAGCTTTGAAATAATTTTAAGGTGATAATTTCCTGAACACGAAAATAAATGTTATTAGTAAGCATGATCATGCACTTTTTTCTGTCCATTCTAAAAGTCAAGATAATAATAGATGTTTTGTGCTTCCTAGAATAATAAACCAAACAGTTAAAACAACTTCTTTCAATTTTTTTTTAGTGCTTTTCAATTCTGGGTAGAAAGTTTATTCAAGATTTATAAGAACTAAAAATATACTTGAAAGGTGAATTTTTTTTAGCTCTTACAATTATTTATGTTTCCGCTGAAAATTAATTGTTTGTTCAAAGGGCATCTTCCAGGATTCTTAAGATTTATCATCGTCTGAAATAAATATATTTATAAATACGCTTAATAATTATCAACTTGGATGTACGCAGGAATTTAGGATTGGGTGTAGTCCATTAAGAGGGAGGGTAATCATTGTCGAGAAAATAAATATTTTTTTGATGAGCGGATCAAATTGTAGTTTTGGTTTATAAAGTGCATAAATATAAGTTTTAATGAAAACCGACTTTAAGACCTAATACGCGGGCCTCATGGGATCAAAAAAATAAGATGAAAAACGTGTAAATTATAGAAAAACTATCTTTTATTTTTTACATTAGGAATCAATAGGTAGAAATATAAAAAAAATAATAATTTATTTTTATAAATATTATTTATAGTTTAATTTTATTAAATTACCATCCTTGTCGCAACATTGCTCCTGTTTAGACTAAACTGTCTTGCCTAATATTTTTGAAATCGACGTCTTTAGAATGACAGATAAGGTTTTCATTTTACTTAAAATAACATTTACACATACAACTTTTTTCCTAAAAATGAGAATCCTTTTCAGGCCCTTCTCTAAGTTTTGATAAGTTTTTTTTTTTAAATATTTTAATAAAGGTATAATAAGGCTTTTGTTGGATTGTTAAAAACAATTATTGTTCTGGATGTACACAAACAATATATTGATTTTGTTTATAAAAAGTTTCTAGATTAAATATAACTTAATTCATAAACGTCATGTGATTCTTATAATACTAATTTTTTTTTTACTGGGTTATTTGGTTATTGATAAATATTACAATCTGTCTCAATAAAGGATATTTATAATAGAGTTCTGAGCTCATATTTACAATTTAAAAAAAATTGAATAAATAAGGTAATTTCAAAATAATATAAAGCTAAATAAGAACAAAATAAAATATCATAGTGAAGGAAGAAAATATAAATAATAGAATAAAAATAAATGAATAAAATAGAATTGAAATTATCATTAAAAAAAAAAAACGTAATGAAGATAAACATCTTAGATGCAGGCATACCTATTTACACTATTTACAGTCGGACATGGGAACTCCAAACCATACTTGTCCCTCCACTTGTGGAGGGAAAGCGAGGCTTCAGGAGATCCCTGCTCTTCTTCCTCAACCACTTCACTGGTATTAAAAGCCAGCGGAGATTGAGTAAGGGCGCTACAACCACAGGCATTCATGACAATACTAATTATAATCTAAACTATGTTATATGTTCCTAATTATAAAGACTGATTATCTAAATCAGCTGTTAATTGCAAAATGAGATAACGTATGACCTGAAAGTAAACCATAAAGATGTGAAGTAATTATTATTATATGTCAAAACACCAAAGGAAAGTTATATCTTTTGTTTCATGATTTTGATACAATTATCAGACTTATTTGGCTGAATACCCTTTAGATATGGTTGTTGAATATCCTTTATTATATTCAAATCTTAATTTTTTTTTTTCGTCATCAATATTCCTGATAGATCTAATAACAACGTACTACTTTCTGTTTACTTAATAAATAAAATGGATTATATATATATATATATATATTATGTACCCGCCAAGATATAATAACCGAGCCTCATAGTTATATATAAATGATGAGGTCTGGGAGGAGTGAATAGACACTTTAATCCGGCACCTGGTCACAGTACTGACCAAAGGACAGTCCGGCCCTAGGGGTGGATCCTTTGACTGTAAGGGTCCCTAGGGTCAACTCAACCCCGACAGTAAGCTTGCTCTAATTTATCTTGTCCAGATCAAAGGCCATCCTTCTCTTAACAATCACAGTATTGTCCTTGCTAATCCTCAATCAAAATATGTACTGTGGTTAAAGAGAGACCTTGAAAAATCTAGCATATTTTTTAAAATATGGTATGGATAGATTTGCTTATAAATAAAGTAATTTAATAAAATAACCCGGGTTAGTCGACCCTATCGTTGCTCAAAATCGTATACTAGTAAAAAAGAAAAAATCGTTTTTGTGAATAAAAATCAAGGAAAAATTGTTACTATTACTAAACATTTTTCGTTACAATATGTAAAAAATTGGTAGAATCAATATACTTTTGCATTTAATTGTTTCAATTTTTCATTCGGGGTTTAGTTAGATTTATCCAATCTGAAAAATGACAGTAAACCTCTGTAGTATGTAGTGGTAACATTTTTTTAAAGCTTATTAAATTCTCAGTTTTAGCAACGTTACAGTGTATTGAATTATATACACTGATTTTAATAATCGTACTTTAATGATTTCTCTTATCGTTTATCAGGAAAAATTTGTCTAATTCAATTGTGTTATTTTTAATGAATATGTTTAAAATTGTTTAAAATGGGTATGAAAGTCATGTGAGTGGACACACTAGATTTTTTATTTACTTAATTGGTCACGTTATATAGATTGTCTTTACTCAGTAACTTTTTCATTCCATGTTGGGGTTTATCACTATCTTTCTTGACAATGCCCTTAATGTATTATCAAGTTAACTTTATTAATTTTGTTGGACTTTACTATGTTTATGTCAATAAAATATCTTAATGTGTTAATTAATTACGCTTATTAAAAATAATAATTATGCTCCTCTATCCACTTTCTCAATACCAGATCTCAACCTATAGATTTATATATCCGCTCCCATAAAACCACTTCCTTCAGCAAATCCTTCGCCATTCGTGCTATCTCCTTATGGAACTCCTTACCCATCTCTATACGTCAAACCACGTGCATAAACTCCTATTCCACCACCTACTACAAATTCAAACTTCCGCAAGCTTGTAAAAATGTCTGGGTTATATAATTACGTTAGTCACCAGCAGTTAATTGATAGAAATCATTTTATTTTTATTTATTATTTTTTTATATCTCAGTATTTATCGTATATATCTGTGTTTATGGTTAATATGTTTTGTAGATATTTATATTTTCCTGTATATTTTTTTTTTATATATTTGTATTTTCCTTAGTATCTTAGTGTGTAAAAATATATATATATATTTGTAGCGTTTTTCTTAAATACAAAGGAAAATGTTTAATAAATAGCACTAAGCTAATAGAAAACTGCAAGACATAGACCAAGATCAAGACTTATCTTGGTCTTGCATTTCGGCAGCACTAGGCCATATTTTGCATTTGTTAGTATGTCCGTGTAAAATATAGTGAAACATTTTGTTGTGTGTCTGCATTAAAAATGTAATAAACAATAATATTAGTATATAAAGATACTTTAGTATTTTCCTAGACGAGTTTTGATTATCAGCAGGCTCATGCATAGTTCTATATTTTCGTCACAAAATCTGTACCACTCTTGCCAGTTGACTGATATTCCAAACTCGCGTTGAAAATTCCTAGTGGTAACTTCGTCACGAGATTAAATGTATGTAATGACTACTCATTTTCAATTCTAGCTCGCCATTCCTAATGTTAATTTTCATGAGAGATCAAGTGACTCCCCTTTGAAGATTCGCGACTC